ATTATGAGTGAGTACATCCCATGTTCATCTTTTTGGGTCTGGGTTACCTCACTCAGGATAGTGTTTTCTATTTCCATCCATTTGCATGCAAAATTCGAGAAGTCATTGTTTTTTATGGTAGCGTAGTACTCTAATGTGTATATATTCCACACTTTCTTCATCCATTCTTCCATTGAAGGGCATCTAGGTTGTTTCCAGGTTCTGGCTATTACAAATAATACTGATATGAACATAGTTGAACAAATGCTTTTGTCATATGATAGGGCATCTCTTGGGTATATTCCCAAGAGTGATATTGCTGGGTCCAGGGGTAGGTTGATCCCGAATTTCCTGAGAAACCGCCACACTGATTTCCAAAGTGGTTGCACAAGATTGCATTCCCACCAGCAATGGATGAGGATACCCCTTCCTACACAGCCTCTCCAGGAAAGGCTATCATTGGTTTTTTTATTTTAGCCATTCTGACAGGTGTAAGATGATATCTCAAAGTTGTTTTGATTTGCATTTCCCTGATCGCTAAGGAGGTTGAGCATGGCCTTAAGTGTCTTTTGGCCATTTGAACTTCTTCTGTTGAGAATTCTCTGTTCAGTTCAGTGCCCAATATTTTAATTGGGTTAATTAGCATTTTTTTCTGTTTTCGAGACAGGGTTTCTTTGTGGCTTTGGAGCCTGTCCTGGAAGTAGCTCTCTAGACCAGGCTTTTCTCGAACTCACAGAGATCCGCCTACCTCTGCCTCCTGAGTGCTAGGATTAAAGGTATGCACCACCATCGCCCGGATATTTTAAAGTCTAGTTTCTTGAGTTCTCTATATATTTTGGAGATCAGACCTTTGTCTGTTGCGGGGTTGGTGAAGATCTTCTCCCAGTCAGTAGGTTGCCTTTTTGTCTTAGTGACAGTGTCCTTTGCTTTACAGAAGCATCTCAGTTTTAATAGGTCCCATTTATTCAATGTTGCCCTTAATGTCTGTGCTGCTGAGGTTATACATAGGAAGTGATCTCCTGTGCCCATCTGTTGTAGGGTACTTCTCACTTTCTCTTCTATCAGGTTCAATGTTCATTTGGACTTGAGTTTTGTGCATGGTTATAGATATGGGTCTATTTTCATTCTTCTAAAGGTTGACATCCAGTTGTGCCAGCACCATTTGTTGAAGATGCTTTCTTTCTTCCATTGTATACTTTTAGCTCCTTTATCAAAAATTATGTGTTCATAGGTTTGTGTGTTCAAATCCGGGTCTTCTATAAGATTCCATTGGTCAACTTCTCTGTTTTTATGCCAGTACCACACTGTTTTCTTAACTGTAGCTCTGTAATAGAGTTTGAAGTCAGGGATGGCAATGCCTCCAGAAGATCCTTTATTGTATAAGATTGTTTTGGCTATCCTGGGTTTTTTTTCCATATAAAGTTGATTATTGTCCTCTCCAGATCTGTGAACAATTTTGATGGAACCTTGATGGGGATTACATTGAATCTATAAATTGTCTTTGGTAGAATTGCCATTTTTACTATGTTGATCCTCCCAATCCAAGAGCAAGGGAGGTCCTTCCGTTTTCTGGTATACTCCTCTGTTTCTTTCTTCAATGCCTTAAAGTTCTTGTCAAATAGATCTTTCACTTCCTTGGTTAGAGTTACCCCTAGATATTTTATGTTGTTTGTGGCTATCATGAAAGGTGAAGCTTCTCTGATTTTTCTCTCTGCTTCTATATCCCTTGTGTATAATAGGGCGGCTGATTTTTTTGGAGTTGATCTTGTATCCTGCCACATTACTAAAGGTGTTTATCAACTGTAAAAGTTCTTTGGTGCGTTTTGGGGGTCGCTTATCTACACTATCATATCATCTGCAAATAACGAAAGTTTAACTTCTTCCTTTCCAATTCTAATCCCCTTGATCCCATTATGTTGTCTTATTGCTATTGCTAGAACTTCAAGCACTAAGCTTGAAGTTAGCTCCTGATCAGTATTTCTGTGTCCATCATTAATGCTTATCTACAGGCTTAGACTACTTGGCTCTTCTTCACTCTTATCCTATATTCACCTTTCTTCTTAATAACTTCCACATTTTCTTCTTACCTTCCTTCAATTTTTACTGTCTTCTTAGGTGGAGAGATATAATGCCTTACTACATATCCTGAGCTAACCTGGAAATCACTACTTAGCAGACAGGCACACTGAAAGTGCTACCTCAGTGTGCAACCCATCAGCCTCTTCACCCTGACTGATACATGGCACCACACCTATAATACTTTTTTGGATTCTAGTTGCTCTCCCATTACAGGTACAGGACTTTAGAGATCCAGAAATGCAAGATAGAAACTTTACTTCAAAGAAACTCTCGATCTCTTCATGAACCTCCTTTGGGCTTTTGCAACCTTCCCATGTGGAGTGAAAAAGTTCAATGAAATTATCTTTAGCAATAACTTCTGATGAACATCTTTGAATTTTTCAAGATTACAGTCCTAACTCTGGATAGTGAAACTGTATTGTATTACTTTCCTAGTGCTACACAAGAAGTTATCATAAACTCAGCAACTTACAATCTCAGTACCTATAAACTGAGCACAGTGTTTTTGGGTCCTCTTCTCAGGCTCTCACAGGTTAGTCAAGGTGTTGCAAAGTCTGCATTCTGTTCTGGATACTTAAAAATATTTCACTGTATGACAAAATTTGTTTTGAAATTTCATGTCACAAAATTTTGCGTGATTACTGTCATTTTGCAAATATCCTGACTCAATTACTCGTGTCAGGATTAGAGTACTGATCCACTTTGTACAATTGCTGTCAGAATTGCTGCTGAATATGCAGTAAGGAAATCATCAAGATTACAACTATTCAGTCTGGACCACAAGATGTTGGTTGAAATCTATCCCCAAACACAGAAATATAAGTATTATATTCACATACACAAAGAGTCTTTTCTGAAATAAATGTATATATTGAACCAAAAAGAAAAAATTAACAAATTATTGTGATTCATTTTTATTGTAGCCGAATAAATTTTCTTTCACATTTTTACCTTTTTACAATCCATTCATCTGTTGATAGACATTGGGTTGATTTTAATTCTTACTGCTGTGAATCACATCAATAATCATGTGTGTGGAAGCCTATCTCTTTTAAGCTGATTTACATTTGTTCTGGAAAATACATAGTGCAGAAGTAACTGAAACATATGGTAATTTCATGTTTTCTTGAGGCATCTCCATATTGAAGTTCACAGTGACTGTGTATCAGTTTGCAGTCCCTCCAGCAGCATATACTGCTTGCTCTTCCTGTCCTCTTTTACCATTATTTATAGTAACTTTCTTGATTTACTTTTAATTCATCATTGAAATGAAGTGATTTTTCTGATTTTGCTTTGGTTTCTATCTCAGTGCTAAATTGGGAGATAATAAAAGCTACAGAAGATCATCTAGAAGTCACTAACTAACTTCAGAAGAGCACAAGTTATTGATGTTCAGCAGCTTCCTTTACCTCCATTCTTACTATTTATTTAGAAGAGATTGGATAATGTTTATTCTTTCCCTCCATATTGCCATGCTGAAGATGGTGGAGTTGAAAGCTTCATTAAGGTTTTGCCTGGATGAAGCTGTGTTTCCCATGGGGCAAGGAACTCACCTTTTACTTGTTTTTCTATTGTTCCTCTTCTCACACAATTTCAGGAAATTGCCTATGATATTCCAAAGATAAGTAACATGTGGTAGCAGGAGGACCAGCCAAGTAGGGAGGGTTCCATTTTAGTCTTTATCATTCTTTGTTGAAATTGCATTACTTTTCACTTTATTAAGTGATAAGATCCTCAGCCCACATTATGTTAATTTTGAGGATGAAATATGACTTCCCTAGATGTTTATATAGTGTGGAGTCTATGGAAGAAGGTCCTGTGTCCCATGAGATCAAGATAATCAACATCTGACTTCCTGGCTCCAAAGCTGTGAACAAATTAATACGTTCTATGAAATAAGTTATTGCTTCTGATTTTCATTCATACACAAACATCTTTTTTTGTATAGCTTCAATCTCTGGTGCCATGATCTATTGATCTCTGTAAATTATTGCTTGATTTAAGCTGACAGTGTTCCCGTATGGAGAGGATTTTTAGTGTTCACTATGTTAGGAAGACTATTTTCACCCACTTACAATAGTGCTAATTTGTAAGTAATCTTAGAAAATGTGTTATAGAATTAACATTCTTCCAAGTATTGGTCTACAACAATGAATTTTTTAAAAAAAGCAAGTTTGTTTTCTTCCTCTTCTATTTTCCACAATTTATCATCTTGTTTCATTCAGTTCCCTAAGTTGTGTAGATGACACTTGTTTGTTTCGGCAGGGTGTACCAATGCTTGAGATTTAAGATTTTCTCATCTCAATCTTAGTGTTCTCTAGGATTTGCATAGAGGGAATTCTGGGCTGCATTTTTTTTAAGTCTAGAACCTGGAGTACAATGTTGGTGGCACTTTCATTGTTTTCTATTAAGTTTGATTTTAAAATTAAGATAACATGAACAAATTTAACCTCCATTCTCTCTCTATATATATATATTTATATATATAGATAGATAGATAGATAGATAATAATATATAATATATATAGTAATATATATATATATTTCTTCTTTCCCTTCTCCATCATTTCTTTTTTTTATTGATTTTTTTTACTCTAAGTTCCTTTGATTGAACAAAATTTATCACTTCCATAGTGTTGTTAATCTAAGATAGCTTTCCTAATATTCTGCAAAACAAACTGATTTTAAAGTATTGTGGATTTTAAACCAAAGTTGTCATTAGAGTGCCTAAGAGATTTCTGTTTGAGTGCTGTAAGATGATCTCATTCAGTGATTGCTCACACTCCCCATGTTGTTATTTTTGCCTGTTGATTAACACCAGCTAGTCACACACACTGCCCATGCATTTTCTTAGATATGTGTTGCTTTGCATAGGCTCCTCCAACACAGTCCAATCACCTAGAATTTATAAACCAGGCATTTTCACCGAGAACTGACAGGCAGGAGGATCAACATGGTGTCACAAACGCAGGTTCTCCTATCCCTGCTGCTCTGGGTGTCTGGTGAGAAATTCAAAACTATTATACTCTTTTTAGAGTCTCTTCTTTGTATAAAAGATATTTACAATGTGTGTCATGATAAAATTTTTCTTATACAACAATACTCTGACAACATGATATTACAAAGATATTAAATTCATTTTTATATTATGTATCATCATTCTTATTGCTGATTGCAGGTGCCTGTGCAGATATCGTGATGACCCAGTCTCCATCCTCCCTGGCTGTGTCAGCAGGAGAGAAGGTCATCATAAGCTGCAAGTCCAGTCAGAGTCTTTTATACAGTGGCAATAACTACTTGGCTTGGTACCAGCAGAAACCAGGGCAGGCTCCTAAACTACTGATCTACTGGGCATCCACTCGGCCCACTGGGGTCACTGATCGCTTCACAGGCAGTGGATCTGGGACAGATTTCACTCTCACCATCAGCAGTGTTCAGGCTGAAGATCTGGCAGATTACTACTGTCAGCAGTACCACAGCTTTCCTCCCACAGCGCTTCAGCCTCCAACAAAAACCTCTCTCACATTCTCACCAGCTGGCTGTACCACACAGCCCTGGACCTGCACACTTCCCCCTGCTGCCTGAGGCTGGTGTGTTCAAAGAGCTGTGAAAAAGTTTGAAGAGCCCAGGAAAAATAATGGGGTCAATGTCTCGTGTCTTTAGGTCTGAAAAAAAACATTAAATAAAAATGTAAAAAGGAATTCAGTATTATCTTTCTATTCCTTCTTTAACAAAATAATACAAGCTGAGCTGCTTGATTATGAGGGATTTATTTTTATAGTTCTGAACTTTGAGTGTCCAGCATGAGACTCTATGGGCAGAAGGAATGATAATGGCCACACTTTGGAAGCTCTAGGAAATATGTTTACTGCTCTTTTTTCTGGATTCTATGGTACTTTCTTGTTTCCATACTGGCGTCCATTTCTTTGGTTATTTTTTCTTTCTCTTTCCATAAATTCTCTTACTTTTTATTACATTTTAGTTAATTAAGTGTTCTTTTCTGCATTCTTGGGAGTGTGCATTTGTTTGTCTGTGTATGTGTGTGGGCATATTTCTGTCTACACATTTGTCGTGGCATAGTTGTGGGCATCAGAACACTTGCACAGGATTGTATCTTTGTCATTCAGGTCTGGGGATCAAAGTCAGGTATGACATCAGGCTTGTTTGCAAGTGTGTTTACTATCTGGTGGATCTTTCTGCCCCTTAAAATCTTTGATTGAAATAAATTCATTGTACTCAATTTTTTAATTAAATTTTTTAAAACAATCTTTCCTCATTTTCCAAATTTATCCCAGTTCTCACCCTCTCATTTCTTCTTCTCCCTGAAAATCCCTGTGCCTCACTCCCCATTCACTCCTAAGGGAAGGTAAGGCTTCCCACTGGGAGTCAACATAGTCTGACACATCACTTTGTGACAGGACTAAGGCCTTCCCCCTATATTTATGATGAAAAGAGTGTTCAACTGTGGATCTCTGCATCTGCTTCCATAAGTTGCTGGATGAAGTTTCTGTGATGACAATAGTCATTAATCTGACTGCAGGAGCAGATCGGTTTAGGCAACCTCTACACACTTGCTTAAAGTCTTAGCTGGGGTTATTCTTGTGGATTCCTAAGAATACCCTGCTGCCAGGTTCAATGCTAGACCCACAATGGCTCCCACAATAAAGTTATCTCTTTCCTTGCTCTCCCTCTGTGCCCATCCCCCAATTTGACCAACCCATTCCCTCATGTTCTCCTCCTACCTTCCCTTCTCCCCTCCCTGTTCTCCCTCTCTTCACCCCTGTTCCATGATCTCAATTTTTGCAGGAGCTTTTGTTTATTTTGGTTTCCCAGGCAGACCCATGTATATCTCTCTAGGGTACTCCTTGCTACCTAACTTCTCAGTGGTCCTGGGATATAGGCAGGTTATCCTTTGCATTACACCTAATATCATACACACAATGTTTTTTTTTCTTTCTGGTTCTGGGTTTCCTCATTCAGGATTGCTTTTTCTAGTTCTATCCAGTTGCATGCAAATTTCAAGATATTAATTTTTATCTTTTTTTTATTGAGAAAAGGAAAAAAAAGTTTCCCTCTCCTCCCATTCCCCTCCCCCTCCTCCCACACACTTTTTCCCCTCTCCCCACTCCTCTTCCCCTCCCTCTCCAGTCCAAAGAGTAGTCAGGGTTCCCTGACCTGTGGAAAGTCCAAGATCCTCCCACCTCCTTCCAGGTCTAGTAAGGTGAGCATCCAAACTGCCTAGGCTCCCACAAAGCCAGTACATGCAGTAGGATCAAAAACAGATTGCCATTGATCTTGGGTTCTCAGTAGTCCTCATTGTCTGCTATGTTCAGCGAGTCCGGTTTTATCCCAGGCTTTTTCAGACCCAGGCCAGCTGGCCTTGGTGAGTTCCCGATAGAACATCCCAATGTTCTCATTATGTGGGTGCACCCCTTGTGCTCCTGAGTTCCTTACTCATGCTCTCTCTCCTTCTGCTCGTGATTTGGATCTTGAGATTTCAGTCTGGTGCTCCAATATGGGTCTCTGTCTCTGTCTTCTTTCACCGCCTGATGAAGGTTAATATCCAGGACGATGCCTATATGTTTGTCTTTGGATTCACCTTCTTATTTAGTTTCTCTAGGAACATGAATTATAAGCTCAGTGTCCTTTATTTATGAATAGAAACCAAATATGAGTGAGTACATCCCATGTTCCTCTTTTTGGGTCTGGCTTACCTCACTCAGGATAGTGTTTTCTATTTCCATCCATTTGTATGCAAAATTCAAGAAGTCCTCGTTTATTACTGCTCAGTAATACTCTAATATGTGTATATTCCATACTTTCTTCATCCATTCTTCCATTGAAGGGCATCTAGGTTGTTTCCAGGTTCTGGCTATTACAAACAATGCTGCTATTAACATAGTAGAGCATATACACTTGTTGTATGATAAGGCCTGTCTTGGGTATATTCCCAAGAGTGGTCTATTTTCATTCTTCTAGTGGTTGACATCCAGTTGTGCTAGCACAATTTGTTGAAGATGCTTTCTTTCTTCCATTGTATACTTTTAGCTCCTTTATCTAAAATGAGGTGTTCATAGGTTTGTGGGTTAAAATCCAGGTCTTCTATATGATTCCATTGGTCGACTTCTCTGTTTTTATGCCAGTACCACACTGTTTTCATTATTGTAGCTCTGTAATAGAGTTTGAAGTCAGGGATGGTAATGCCTCCAGATGATCCTTTATTGTATAAGATTGTTTTGGCTATCCTGGGTTTTTTGTTTTTCCATATAAAGTTGATTATTGTCCTCTCAAGATCTGTGAAGAGTTTTGATAGGACCTTGATGGGGATTGCATTGAATCTATAAATTGCCTTTGGTAGAATTGCCATTTTTTTTTATTGCGAAAAGAAGAAAAAAAAAACATAAACAAAAAACAAGTTTCCACCTCCTCCCAACCTCCCATTTCCCTTCCCCTCCTCCCACCCTTCTCCCCCTCCTCCCACCCTTCTCCCCCTCCTCCCACCCTTCTCCCCGTACCCCCACTCCTCTCCCCCTCCCTCTCCAGTCCACAGAGCAGTCCGGGTTCCCTGCCCTGTGTTAAGTCCTAGGTCCTCCCCCCTCCGTCCATATCTAGGAAGGTGAACATCCAAACTGGCTAGGCTCCCACAAAGCCAGCACATTAAGTAGGATCAAAACCCCCTGCCATTGTCCTTGGTGTCTCATCAGCCCTCATTGTTCGCCATGTTCAGAGAGTCCGGTTTTATCCCATGCTTTTTCGGTCACAGTCCAGCTGGCCTTGGTGAGCTCCCAGTAGATCAGCTCCACTGTCTCAGTGGGTGGATGCACGCCTCGTGGTCCCGAATTCTTTGCTCATGTTCTCCCTCCTTCTGCTCCTCCTTGGGACCTTGGGAGCTCAGTCCAGTGCTCCTGTGTGGGTCTCTGTCTCTATCTCTATCCATCACCAGATGAAGATTCTATGATGATATGCAAGATATTCGTCAGTATTGCTCTAGGATAGGGTCATTTCAGGTTCCCAATCCTCAGCTGCCCAAGGAACAAACTGGGAACCTCATCTTGGGCACTAGGGAGCCCCTCTAGGGTCAAGTCTCTTGCCCACCCTAAAGTGGCTCCCTTAACTAAGAATTGTGGTTCTGTGCTCCCCTATCCACCTTTCCTTTATCCCAATTCTCCTGTTTCCCAGGTCCCCCCTCCTTCCCTTCTACCTTTTCTCTCCCCATCTCCCCTTACCCCCATCCCACCCCCCCCCAAGATCCCATTTTCTCCCCGGAAATTTGGTCTACTTCCCTTAGCCAAGAGGACAACTATATGTTTTTCCTTGGGTTCACCTTCTTACTTAGCTTCTTTAGGTTCACCTATTGTAGACTCCGTGGTCCTTATTTATGGCTAGAAACCAATTATGAGTGAGTACATCCCATATTCATCTTTTTGGGTCTGGGATACCTCACTCAGGATAGTGTTTTCTATTTCCATCCATTTGCATGCAAAATTCGAGAAGTCATTGTTTTTTACCGCAGCGTAGAACTCTAGCGTGTATATATTCCATACTTTCTTCATCCATTCTTCCATTGAAGGGCATCTAGGTTGTTTCCATGTTCTGGCTATTACAAATAATACTGCTATGAACATAGTTGAACAAATCCTTTTGTCATTTGATAGAGCATCTCTTGGGTATATTCCCAAGAGTGGTATTGCTGGGTCCAGGGGTAAGTTGATCCCGAATTTCCTGAGAAACCGAAACACTGACTTCCACAGTGGTTGCACAAGATTGCATTCCCACCAGCCATTTTTACTATGTTGATCCTCCCAATCCAAGAGCAATTGAGGTCCTTCCGTTTTCTGGTATCCTCCTCAATTTCTTTCTTCAATGCCTTAAAGTTCTTGTCAAATAGATCTTTCACTTCCTTGGTTAGAGTTACCCCAAGATATTTTATGCTGTTTGTGTCTATAGTGAAAGGTGAAGCTTCTCTGATTTCCCTCTCTGCTTCCATATCCTTGTGTATAAGAGGGCGACTGATTTTTTTGGAGTTGATCTTGTATCCTGCCACATTTTTAAAGGTGTTTATCAACTGTAAAAGTTCTTTGGTGGAGTTTTGTGGGTCGCTTATGTACACTATCATATCAGCTACAAATAACGAAAGTTTAACTTCTTCCTTTCCAATTCGAATCCCCTTGATCCCATTATGTTGTCTTATTGCTATTGCTAGAACTTCAAGCACTATATTAAAGAGGTATGGCGAGAGTGGACAGCCTTGTCGTGTTCCTGAGTTCAGTGGGATGGCTTTGAGTTTCTCTCCTTTTAATTTGACGTTAGCTGTCGGCTTGCTGTATACTGCTTTTATTATATTTAGGTATGACCCTTGTATCCCTAATCTCTCCAATACTTTTATCATAAAGGGATGTTGGATTTTGTCAAATGCTTTTTCAGCATCTAATGAAATGATCATATTTTTTTTCTTTCAGTTTATTTATATGATGGATTACATTGATAGATTTTCATATGTTGAACCAGCCCTGCATCTCTGGGATGAAGCCTACTTGATCATGATGAATAATTTTCCTAATGTGTTCTTGGATACGGTTTGCCAG